CTGGGGTGTCCATTCCACAGTCCGTGGCCCCCCATGACCAGTACCTGCTCCTTACATCCATTTTTTTTTCCCTCCCTTTCACCTCTGGCAGCTTGTCTCTTGCTTCTTGCTCCTGAGGTGTTTTATGGAGAAGCTCAGTGGTATAATTTTCTTGGGTGTGGAAATATTCACTGGTCCATGCCTTTCATATTTTAGATGAAAAAACCAAAGCTTCATAGGTTCTGTCACACAATGAGCTGCTGACACAGCAGAGACCATAACCTGGGGCTCCAGCTGCACAGTCAGCTGGGCATGTGACAGCTCTAAGTTCTGTCCAGCCAAGGGCCTCCCCCTGCTGCTTCCCTCTGCTGAGCTCAGGGCCATAGCCTCCTGGTTTTCTTCTCCTCAAGACCAGAAGGGATGAGCCTAAACAGTGCCCTCAAATCCCTTCCTTCACCTCTACTCAGCAAGAAGTCATGGCATCTGATTGGCACTTACCTTGCTTCTTTCAATTATGGGACTTAAGAAATACTTTTTGATGACTACATTTCCAATAAAATACAGTTTCCATAGTGTCTACCTTCCAATGACCAATGCTTTTAATTTACAAATGAGGACACATTCCTAGTCTCATTTTGTTTGTCACATTCTTGTCATGGGTGGGGGAAACTGAGGTTCAGAAATGGGCAGAGTTACAAGAAGCAAGGTCACATGCTTATGGAGGAAAGCCTGGAACATAGTAGACTGTTCGGTAAGTCAATGAATTGTTAAATAAATGAATAATACAAATTGCTTTCTATTTTCAAATAAAAAATTAAAAAGTACCTGCTATTATATGTTCTGAGCGATTAGCATGATTAACTGTAATGACTCATTCCCTCCTCATCAACATCCTATTATTATCCCCATTTTAGAGATGAGAAATTGGAGGCAGAGTTTAAGCAAGTCCCAAAGCCACACACAGCTAGTAAGCAGCAGAGTGGATCTGAGTCCAGTCTGTATGGCTCCAATAGCTACACTCTTAGCCACCGTGGTAAACCATCTATGAAGACAAAGGGCTACAGCAGCTCCATGCACTAGAACTTTCTGCACTATTGAGAATGTTTCAAAATGGACACTGGAGTGGCTGGGGACTGCTTAGAGTGTGGGGATTAACCTAGTGTTAATCTAACGGGTTCTGAACCTTGGTCAAATGAATAGCCCAGAGCCTAAAGTATTACTCCTGGCCTCAGGGGACAGATTGCTGACCTGCCCTAGAAAGAAGAAAGCAAGATGGGAAGAGGTGAAGGAGTTCACCCTGTGCCATACAGCAAGCCAGTGGGGACAGCATAGCTGGTCTCTCACCATGGTCACACTCATCCCATCACCATAGCTTCTTGTCTCTGCTCTCTCTTTTCTGCCATCCCTTTCCCCTCTTTTTCATGTGCACAGATGAGGGCTCATATTAGAAACTCATATCCTGCCATGGTTCTGTACACTGAGCTGTGGGACCCACAAGCCCCTTGGGCAAGGTGAGTCCTCAAATCTAGTCAACTCTTGATCCAGACTTAGACTCTCCACTCTGGGCTTATCAGTGGTGGCAAAGCCTTAATCCCTGCCAGGCACTTGGCGCAGAGGCTGCCTTCTGCCTTGCTGTCAGCTGGTGTGTACGCAAGGAGCACAGACTCATTTTAATATTGGCTGGAGCCAAACCTCATTAGAAAAGTAAATTTGCTGTAGCTGCAGAGGGAGGCAGGGGGTGGGAAAGGGAGAAAGAGAGAGAAAGAAACTCATATAACCCTCCAAAGCTAAATAGAAAACACTAATTTTGGATGGTTTGACGCTTTATGTCCCCAGAACTGGGCGTGGAAGCCAGAACACTGTAGATGTTCAATCAGTGTCAATGAAAGTGGACAGTCTTGAGTGATCTCTGACCATCCTTTCATGTTTAAGCATGGATGATAAGCAGTCACAGACTTGGAGTTTCTGTAAATTTTCTTAGTTTTATTTTATTTTTTTAAGATAAGCGTTGGCTGATAAAGTAGAATGACTACACTTAATAATTAGTAGACATGAAAATAATACTATTGTTGTTATTTACCTAAGAAATGTTTGGGGTTCTTTAGTCCTAGATAATGAAGGGCTGGGTTCAGCACAGAGCCTGGAGGTATGGCCAGTCAAATGTGGTGAGGGCTGGATGTGGGACAGAATGTATCTTCCCAGGGCTGGTTTGGACATAGAATTGCTACTCTAAATTCTAGAGCTATCCAGATCCTGGGAGAATGGGGAAAAAGAAAAAGTGTAAAATGAATAAATATTTGTCTAGCACTTCCCCTAAAAAAATCTGGTGAGAAAGAGGTTCCCCAATTTATAGATATTCAGAAACCAGGACTTAGAGGGCTCAGTTTTTTTCCAAAGTCCACTCAACTGGTCAGTGGTCAGAGATGGACTGAGTGGGATGTCAGATAGCCTGGCTTTGGTCTGACCCTTCTGTTCATGTCCCCTTGCTGGCCTTCAAAGGAATCTCCAGAGATTTTCTTTCCTGGAGGTCTGGGTGGGAAAAGTGATACATAAAGGAGGCTTCTCTTTCTCCTCCCCAGGCTTGCCCAGACCTACATCCTTCCCCCCATCATCCTGTATTCCAGGACCAGAAGAGGTGGGCAGGGACAGAAGGTAGAGAAGAACACTCAGCACTGGGAGATGGCACAGCTGCAGGGTCTCCTTGAAGGTTTGTATACACTCTCAATGCTCTTGGCCTGTTTTCTCTCTGCCTTTGAGCCTCCCTCTGAACCCTTATATTCATCAGAGCCTTCCTCAGTAGAACATCCCTGGGTCTACTCTGAGGGACCTCCTACAGGGGAGGATGACTGCCAATGTCCAGATGTTGGGGGCTTGGGAAGGAGAGACCCTACCTGGCCCAACCCACTTCCTACTTTGCCTGCCCTGCCTTCTGCCTGTGTGCCTCCCTCTATAATCTTTATCTGTGGTCTCACTCTGTCTCCTTCTCTCTGCCTGTCTCAGACTCTCAGATTTCTTCTCCAGGCAGTTCTCAAAAAACAGGAGTGCTCAGACATCAGTGTGCCAGCTCATTCCTCTCTTCCAGCCACACTGGACCACCAGGCTCCCTCAGAGCCTAGGCTTCCCAGTCAGGAAAGCAAATCTCCTGACCTGCCTCATCAGCCTGTGCCCCAAAACTATGGAAAACATAGTTGACTTGGTTTCCTCTCCCTTAAAAACAACTACGGGAAAATCTAAGTCTATCCAGAAGGCTAAGAGGAAGAAATGGGCTTCTCTTCTGGAGCCCTTGGTCTCTGCCACGGACTTTCATTCTTCATTGGAGCTGTTCTCCCTCAGTGATTTACCTGTCCCAGAATTCAGGTGAAACAGTCCCGCTCACCCAGGAACATACATGGATTGAATATGCATACATGCATATTCAATCCAGAACACAGGAGCTTCTAACATGTTTGAACACAACTGATTCCCAAGCACCTAGGGTTTAACTACAGAAATGCAAACAGGAAGGCATTGGCTCCAGTGCTGAATGGGGCACAAATACATTAACTTTCCCTCTTTATTTAATACTAGCAAGCATTTTTCTTCCATCAAAAAGGAACAGAGGGAAATGGCATTGCAGCTCCATAACATTTGGGAGTTCTGGGCATGGACTGGGAAGAAAGGGAAATCTTCCTGTGGGGGATGGTCTTTATTCCATAAGAAGGAAGGGGAAGGCTTGATGTTTGGTCTAATAAGGTCAATAATGGTCACCAACTACACAGGTTCAGGGAGAAAATGTGTCAACTCTGTAGTGGCTCTTGACAGAAGCAGGGACATATAAGAGCAGAAAACAACTATTAGAAAATCCTAGGGTTAAAGTCTTACACAGTCACCGGCTTCCTTGAGCCCAGTAACTTATGAAGCTGTGTGCCTGCCATTTTCATACAGTAATGTCACAGTGCTATGCACTTGTATATCCACCTCCAATTATGTTAACAGTGCATACCATGTACCCCAGGTTAAAGTAACTGGGTACTGCAACCAGACTGGCATCCATGCAGACTGGGTTATGGGCTAGCCACTGTCAGCAAAAGGCCCTTTCTAGGCTACTGTGCAATAGATACCTCAAGAGTCATTCAGCTCCAATTTCTACAACAAACCATTTAGCTAGTGTATGGCTGAGATTAGATCTGGGGGAGAGGGGGCTGGAGTAAGTGGAAGGGGAAGATGGCCAAGAGCAGGTTTATGTATGTGTGTGGGGGAGGGGTTGGTCTCTTGACCTTAGCTGCTTGGTAGAAAGCTGTCACTCCCTTTCCCTGGCACTGTTGGATCTGGTGTCTTCTTTCTTTCTTTTTTCCTGCCTTAACTCTCAGCTTCGTTTTTTGAAGTTATATGTTCTGGCTCTGGAGGATCAGGACATCAGGCCTGAGCCCAGGTGCAGAGGACTAGAGATGAACTAGTCCTGCCTCCTTCCTGCTTGCTAAATAGAGGGTCTTAAGGACCCTTTGCTACCTTTGCCGTCTCTTAGCCCCTCAATATCCCCAGCAGAGCTGCCAGCTCTGGTCCTCTGAAAAGAGTTAACTTGTCAATGCCCGGAGCTGCAGAGCGGTTGAGAGTGACTGTTAGAGAGCAGGGGTGGAGTGGAGGGTGGGGGTGTTGGTCCCTGACTCTCCGGGTCAGCTGGAACCACCTGCTGAGATGGCAAGGGATTGATGGGCTAAGAGCGGGTTCAATTGTTAGAAGCTGTTGAAAACCTGCTCTTCCTTTTATCTGGGTCCGAAGAGGGCAAGCAGTGCTCAGATTTTGTTTCGCAGCCTTTGGAGCGCAGGGCCTTCCAGTCCCGGTCCCCTTTCCAGCAGCCCACCTGGGCTCATGCATCTCTCTCTCTCTCTCTCTCTCTCACACACACACACACACACACACACACACACTCACACCACGCGCGCACCCGGGAGGACATGGCGTGGGTACAAATTGGGACGCATAAAGGGGCTCTGTGAGTGGCAGCGGCTCCCGCGGGAACGCAGGGCTTGGGGGACACTGACCTGCGGCGACGAGTCGGGATCGTCCCCGGCGCGTTCCATCCCGGGCGGCGGCTCCCTACGCCCCGGCCCCGGCGCCCCCAGGCTGCTGCCTTGGGCCGCGAGCGCCTCCCTCTCCGGGAGATCTCGCGCTTCGGGCCCCCGGGGGCCACTTCATAGCCTCAGGGTCCTTGCGCCTGCCTGCAGCCCCGGTCCGGTCCAGCTGCCCCGGCCCGGCTCCTTCTGGGCTCAACGAGGCGGCGGCCAGAGCCTGGGAGCGCGCGGGAGGGCGCAGGCAGGGAGGCGCGGTGGGGGGCGGGGAGCCGGAGACAGAGGTGGGGAGGGGAGTGGAGGGGAGCGGAGCGGAGGCCCAGGGGACGGAGGGGGAAGCGCGAGGTGGCCGGGCGCGCGGCCGGAGCCGAGCCGACCGAGCCGGCGCGCAGTCCCCTCGGCAGCGGTGGTGGCGGCTATGCGCCGGTGCAGCCACGGCTCTGACAGCGCCTCCCGCCCCGCCCCCACCCCTGCTCCCCACCCCCACTCCCCCCGCCCCCAGTGAGCCGGCGGGACCCGCGCCACTAATGGTCGGTACCAACCTCGCCAGCTGAAGTGGGGGCGCGAGGAGGGAGGCCAACGAGGAGACCCCCCACCCCCCGAGATTGGTATCACCTACCCCCATCCCCTACCCGCGACACACACACCCTCGCCAGCGGAGGCGGCTCCAGCTTTAGGCTCTGGAGCAGGGGCTGCGGGCGGGGCCCAACGTACCCGGGCCTTGGCTCTCTAGAGTTAAAGCGCGCTGGGTCCCCTGCTTGCACCCCCATCCCACCCCGCCTCCATCCTGGCTGCTCCTGGCGCCCAGCTTGGCAGCCTTTCTCAAAGGGTGATTGTTTCCGGGCTGGTCTGTTGGGGGGCGGTTCTCTGGGACCAAGAGACAGAGATAGAGAGCCGGGAGCGTGAGGCCCCCTCCTTAGCTTCGGGTGCCCGGGAGTGGAAGGAGGCTAGTGGGGCGGGTGATATTTTGCCAGGACACAGGGCCACTTGTATGAGGCATTAGTGGGGGGTCCTCAGGCGCTGGTCAGTGGGGCGACCCCACCTGCTGCCTAGTCGAAGGGCATGTCAAACAACTGTCAGTGTCCCCCACTCTGGTCCAGAATAGTGCATTGGAAATTACAAAGAGTACTGCAGGGGTGCAAGGAACCAAGAATTGTGGAGGAGGTGGAGAGGCGGGGAGGGCAGTCCATCTAGGAATTTCCCAGGCTGTCCTGCTGGTGTGAGCTGGTGGGCTGGGGGGATTGTGTGGCCGATGAGTCAGCGTGTATGTGTGCAGAAGTGTGCAAGTACAGAGGAAGCGGCATGTAGCTGTGGAGAGGTTTCTAAACGATCTTTCCTCTACTTGCCAGAGACTTAGGAGCTATCCTTGGACTTGAAAGATTTATATTCCCTGTTGGTCCTCCAGAACACCTGTAGTCAGGGCTGGTTTCTCCCTCCAGATGACCCGCTTCTGTAGGAAGTCAGTGCTTACCCTTAGGATCTGCCACCTCCTTTACTTATCCAGTGACCTACAGCTAGGCTTTACTGAATCCAAGTTGTACTGCCAATGACTGTGGACCCAGGCTGAGATCACAGGCATCCTTTCCATTCACATTCACAGAGCTTGGCCCTTCCATTGGGTATGTGTGGTAGGAGTGGAAGGATACTGGCTCCAGAAGCACTCACTTTGGTCAAGACCTGGATGGAAAGAAGGGGTCCCACCATCCACACCATCCTACAAACTTCAAAATATAATCAATTACTGTCTCTAGGAACAGCTGACCATTCCTCTCACTCCTTCGTCCATTACCATACACAACTGTCCTCCTTGCACAACTGCCCTCCTTACCAGCAAGGAAGTTCCATTAAATCTAACCTGAGTACCTCTTGCTGTAGTGCAGGGTCATTACTACAAATCCTGCTGTGCTTTTCTTTTCTCTATTGGAATAACCCTTGCTCTCATGAACTAGAGGGAGGGCACCCTGCAGAACACCTGCAGAAAGCATCCAACTTAGACTTTACCAAGCTTTTAAAAGATGATATTTTCTTTCTAATATTTTCATCCCTTTACACTCTGCTTCTCCCCTGACTCCACATCTACTGGAGGACAGTTACAGAAGCAGGAAAGAGGAGCACAGGCAAGTGCAGGATATACCTTTCACTCTTCCTCCCAGAGCCAACTGGAACCAGCCACAGAATCACCAAATAGCAGGAGAAATGACCTTGGAGATTATCTAGCTCCAGCCCTGCATTTTACCAATGGGGAAATTAGAACCACCGAAAGAATCTCCTCAGTGTGTGGGTTCATACTCACTTCTTGTCTCTTTCCCCAGGATGGGTCCCAGCCCCTAAGTGCTGAGCTCAGGGCAATGGCAATGAGCAGGCCTGAGTTTCAGGCCAGTTCAAAAGGCACTTAGGTGACCTGGCAAAGGACTTTCCTCTCTCTTTTGGTAATAAATCAGGGAGTTGTATTAAGTGGTCAGGAGTTCCATTTGGTCCTGAGACCCTGTGGCCTGTTGGATGCTTTCTGCAGGTGTTCTGCAGAGTGCCCTCCCTCTAGTTCATGGGAACTCAACCAGCTGGAACAAGAAGGATGACAAGCTTTATCTTACCATTCTTGTAAGAACAATAGTGATAATAAAACCCCTTTCTAGGGACCTGTCTTGCAATTTAGCCCTAGGCTATGTTTATGGAATTTTAATATTAATTTTTAAAGCCAACTTAAAGCAATAACATGAGATTAAAATTAGCATAAGAAGACTTGGCAAAGAGACAACAGCCTGCCATTTTTTTTCAATGGGAAGTTTGGGCAACACCCAAGTGTATGGCCACACACATACACAAACATCTATGTAGATACAAAACATGCACAGAGGCATATGAATGTGCCAAAATGAATAGACAAATATCCTCTCATTCCTCATGCGTACATATAAGTACCTGCACTTGCCCAGACACCAATCTCCACCAATTAGCATGAACCCTAGCTGCCACCTTTCTACAACTGTTCTCTGTCTTCCTGCTTGGCCTCTGAAGGTTTATGAAAATCCTCCCAATCTACTTCTGAATTTAGTGCATCCCTGCAGCTTGGCCCTTGCTCCAAACATCTGGAGCAGCCTCCAGGTCTTCCTCAATGACTTATCTTTTCCTCTTTTTTCATTCTCTGCCAGGAGTGAGCCTCTCTTCTCAGAAGACCCCAAAGCTTACCACAAGAATGCTTAGTATGCAAAGCTCCGATCTGTCCTCTGGGACAAGCCTTTATGTGTTTATTGTGTAGTTAAGCAGGACAAGAGTCCTGCCCCTGCTCTGGTCCTGGACCAGTTCCCATAATCTGAATCCCTGAAGGGTCCCATAAAAGCATCATCTGCAATGCAAAACCTTCAAACATCTGGAAGGGTCTGTAGGTTTTCTTCAAATCACCTGTGCCCTAATTTAATATGAATAACAATTAGTTTACTCTTATCAGTTAATTGTTCCCCTAGTGAGCTCTCTCAGCCTACTCCTCTCTTTCATCCAGTGCTTTGGTCTGCTTCAGACTTGTCACCAAAGCTTTCTTTTCAGGCCAGTCTTTCCTTTTCAGCTAAGTGCTCCAGAGAGCTCACACAGCTGAGCTGTTTTTTGCCCTTACAGCAGCCCCAGGTCCTGGCTCTGCCATCTTGGTTGTCTAATTGCTGGGACTCCAGTTTTAGAGAGCCATACAATATCCCCTCTTTTTCACTGGTAATCTACAGCAGTGATTTCGCTGATCTGAGTGGTAAAGCCCAATAAGGAGTCCCATATCCCACATTCACCTGTCATTGCCCAGACAAGGGGCACAGTGCACATGCACTTGCATGTGAATATCCAGGTTCCACAAGGGAGTGACAGCAGTGAGAGGCAGAAAAGCTGCCCTTTGCTTCAGCAGGCAGGGTCAATTCCCTGGAGACCTCCTCATCCCTTACAAAGTGTGGCAGGCTCATGAAATGTTCCTTCAGTGGCTCCATGCTGGTTGTGAATGCGTGGTCTTTGGAGTAGTTGAGTTCATGGTTCAGAGAATGAGAGAGAGGAGTAGCCCTTTTAACTTTTCCATTTTATTAAAAGTTCTTTGGTCCCATCTTTAGATCTTGGGTATCCTTGTTTCCCCATAGCAAATTGGAAATGATCTTTGATCACAAGGACTCTCAGGTTCCCCCTCTTCTTCCCTTGCTGCTGCCTCTCATATTCCTGTACCCATGGCAAGGGTGCCATGCCATGACTTTGAAATGCTTCTGCTTCTGCTATTCAAAATTTGTTGTGCTTTGGTTTCTTCTGTGGTTGAGGGAAGCCTGAGAGGCAATGTGAGCAGAGGCCTGCACCTTGTGGGAGCACCTTTCTAAAGTAAGGATGGGATAGTTCTCTGTCCTCTTGGGGAAACAAGAAGAACCTGACTATTATGCAGAGACCACTCTTTCTCTCCCTTGAAACTCCTCCCAATGTGGACATTGAGGCTATCACTTTTTCTCTACAGCCTGTCCTGATTCTGATGGACTTCAGGCTGTCAACTGCCTTTCCTCTGAGTCCTGTAGCACTTTTCCAGGACTTCTCTGGAGACTCTTATTTGTGTGTGCATGCTTTTGTCTATTCCTTAAATATTTATTGAGTTACTATCATATGTCAGAAAACAGAGATAGCATGGTGAATGATAGCCACTAGAAAATAAATAAATACACACACACACACACACACACACACACACACCAGGTAAGGTTCTAAGTCTTCATGTGCCTTAACTAATTTCATGACATTAGGTGTTATTTATGAGGTGCCATTTATGATGAGGTACTATTAGAGTTTACACTTTATAGGCCAGCAAACTGGAGCATATTTAGGTAATTTAATCAAATATCACAAGATTGGTAAGTGACAAAATTGGCCTTTGATCAGGTGGTTAAGTTGCAGGGCTGTGTTAGTCTGCTTTTTGTCACAATGACCAAATTACCTGACAAGAACAACTTAAAAGAGGAAACATTTATTTTAGGCTCACAATTTCAAGAGTTTCACTACCTGGTTGGTCAATTCCATTGCTGTGGTCCTGAGGTAAGGCAGAACATCATGGCAGAAGGCTGTAGCTGAAGAAAACAACTCATCTCATGGTATCCAGGAAGCAGAAGCAGGAGAAGCTGAGGATTAAAGTATAAACTCTGAAGTCATGTTCCCAGTGACCTACCTCCTCCAGCCACCCCCCACCTGCCTACAGTTATCACCCAGTAGCCTGTTCAAATTATTAATTCATCAAATGGATCAATTCACTGATTGGGTTATGGCTTTCATAATCTTATCATTTCACCTCGTACCTTAACATAGA